GAAATAATAATGAATTACTGCTATTCAGGCCAGCAACCCTTGGAACTTTTCATATGACTGCAATCACACAAAGCCTCGAAACAGAACTCAAAACCAGGCTGCTGGCACCAGCAGCCATTCTAACCCGAAAGGCCCGACAAACCACATTCTGCCTTACCTTCTCCGGGTCATCACGATACCCACCACCCAGATAACCGTGTCCTCTCCAGCAAGTGCGGACCCAGTTCGGGGCGCGCCACTCAAACTGACCACGTCCAAGGTGGGGTTGGTGGTAGCATCCGCGTCAGGGTAACTGCTGATCTTTGGGGAGGACCACCTCTAATCTCCAATCCGGTCTGGCTGCTCCGGGCTCATGGAACCATAAACAGGCCGCCTATAGGCAAAAGGCCCGTGTCAGACCTCACCAGTCCGACAAGCTCAACAACAACAACCGTACACTTTAAAAGCTGTGTAGTAAACAGTCTAGGGGTGGGATCGGTATCTACAGGCATTATTATTTGCGTCTCAAGAGGAACCTCAGGCCCTTAACTATTCTTAGAATTGTGGAATAAAAGACACTAGCTATTGCCGGTTCCTCTACACTTTATGGGTACATGTTCCAGCATCGATAAAAAGTTGGAAGAAACTTGTAAAATTGCTTAGAATCAGTAAAATCTGGCTGAAACTAAGTACAAGGTTACGCATACGATAGAAGGGCAATGGACCAATAATTTTAAGATTGAGGGACAAAGTGTTGTGCGTCTTCCTACAGCTCATAATAAATTTCTATTACCAGTTAAAGGACAGCACGGTGTGATGAAAAACAGAGCCAGGTGGACTACATAGAGACCACAAAGGGAAGAGGACGATCTATCATGCAAACATACTAAGGTACATCCATAGCTAAGGAAAAGATGCAGATGCAGTGGAAGACCCCTTCCCAGTGGCCTTGGTAGAAAGAGAGAAAGGATGACGGTGAGCTACCACGAGTTGATAACCAACAAGCTAATGTTCAAATCTGTCTTATCAAGCCTACAAAAAATGTTTCAGCTGATGTACCTAGAAAATTTGGCTGAGTTGAACTTGCAGAATCAGTGCGAGGGAGGACAGTGTGTAGAGCCAGAGAAGATATCATATTCTCTATGCATTGTGGCCAAGTGTTTAGGGAAGAGCTCGAAGTAATGAGTGACTTAGTGTTGATATTCATCCACCAGTTCACTTTACTCTTATGGTGATAATGGCTCATAAAACACAATTTGTTTTGAATTTTAAAAGCAATTCTCTAACTGTTTTGACACGTGAACCATGCCTGATCACGACATATTTCTTTTATTGATAGTCAGTTCTTTATTGAAATGTTTTAGTGAAAGGATACTAGCAAATTCCATTGAGTGAGCTTTAGCCGTCAATACACTGTTTCTATAGATGAAGGGCTTTCCTTCATTAGGTTAATGCATAAAGTGTTAGGTGGAATGTCTGGAGTTCAGTTTTTCTTGGATGATATCCTCATTCACGGTAAGACCTGGGATGAACATTTGAGTAGTCTCTAGGAATATTTCAACGTCTGAAGGATGCTGGACTCACCGCAGGGCCATCAAAGTATACTCTGGAAATAACCAAAATGAACTGTTTGAGACCCATGAAAGATAAATTTGGAATAATTTCGAAATGCACCACGGCTAAGCACATAGAAACAACTGAGATTGTTCCTAGGATTAAGTTGTTGTTGTTATTTGATTTACTGGCCGTTAACATCGATGGTCATTACGGTCGTAATCTTATTCGTTTAACACTTTCCTCTTGTTTCTTCGTTACCCATGCTCCTTCTTGAGTTGGTTAAAAGCTCGTGTAGGTATGTGAACTCTGATCTCGTTATTGTCATTGTATCTGCTTTCTTGTTCTTGTTCTTCCTCCCGTTTTTCTTTCCCGGTTATTCCTTCTTGTTATCTTTGGGTTTCTTGTTTTCTTATTTCTTCACTACAAGAAGAGTCTCCTTATAACTCAGATACTTCTTACTTCGAACTTTTGCTACCCTGCGCTCCTTCCACTTGGGACACTCCCGGTCGGAGGAGGAGTGAGGTCCGCCGCAAACTGCACATTTTAATATTTTTTTATTTCGTATGCTGGTGTCCGGGTGTCACGCAAGTGACACAGTCCTCCCGAGCCCGGCACTTCTTTGCCAGATGGCCATAACTCTGGCCTTTATAGCATCTCATCGGCCGCTTCTCGTAGAGCCTTATTGGGATAGTCTCCCTTCCCAGTAGTAGTTCACTTGGTAGTTTCTTTGGATAACCGACCAGTGCCACGTTGCGGGTCAGCTTTCTTACTACTGTGAGCTGGTCTCCGATCAGCTAGGCCAGCTCGCCTTTTTCAAGCTGCTCTATCTCTGAGTGGGAGATTACTCCCAACACCAAGTTAACCTGTATTTTGATGCCATTTATTTCTTTGAAATTCGATACTTGCTGAGCCTGTCTCTATTCCGCGAATGTGAACCTAAAGCCACCACTCACTGGTCTGCGGATGACTCTTGTCACCCCCCTGACCCCTAAGGAGTCAAAAAACTTCCTTGGGACAAGAAGGGTAAATTTGTTGGGTGAAGGACACTTGACTGGGTACAGTCTTGCAATCTTCACCTGGTCACAGGACAGCTTCTGACTCATTTTCAAGGCCACGTGTTACCTCGGGAGCAGAAAAGATCTTGACTCGTTGAGGTGCAGGTCTCTCGTGAGTGAGAATTAAGTGGGTACTATCGTAAACGTATACCGGACTATGCAACTGTAGCTAGCCCACTTACTGATTCGACTCGGAAAGGAGGTCCTACTGTAATTGTTTACAAAGAAGAACATGAACTTGCTTTCAAAAGCCTCCTGGAATGTTGTTACCCAATAATAAGGAAACGTTTCTTCTCAGAACAGATGCATCGAATACAGGACATGCAGCTGTACTGCTACAAAAAGCAGAGGGAATGAAACGTTCCGTGGCGTTTGCCAGCCGCAACTTTCACCACGAGAGAGGAACTACTCGACGACCGAGAAGGAAGAAATGACGATCGTCTGGTGAGTACAGGAATTTCAAGTTTATTTGCATGGGGAATACTTTGAGTTAGGATCTGATCATAAACCATTGCATTACTTAAGGAAAGCCAGGGATCTTAATTCAAGACTGGTGTGATGGTGTTTGGCCTTACAGGCATACACATTTAAATTAAACTACATTAAAGGTGAAGAGAATGTTGGACCTGATTACATAAGTAGTGTTTTAATTGTGCAATTCTTCAAAAATATATGCATATTGCATAGAGGTCTATTTTCTTTACCAGGGGCGTATTGTCATAGTTGACAATTACTTAATTATATTTTTTTTGGGGGGGGGAGGTTCTATTTTTCTCACGAATATAAAGGAGATCTTTCCTAATTTTACATGTACAAATATTTTTTGTTCCCTTAAAGTCTTGCTAAAAATTTAAGTTGAATTATATCTTGTAAACTGGTAATGTTTCACTATAAAACGAGTGGAGAATAATGTTTTTCATAGTCAGGTTCAGAGAGTTTGGGGCTTTATAGGGCTTCAAATATGAGTCTCTGAACTAATGCAAAGTTTATCCTACAGGGAAGAGAGTGTGAAAAATTCGTCCTGTTGCTTGTGCTGGCCAGTGAGGTGCCTGAATCCTCTGTTCTGCTGAATAGTTGTGGCTGATGTTTGAGTGATTAGTGTATACACCCAGGTGTGTGCTAATGGTCTGAAATTGGTGTCTTTGTGGGTTGCTCCCGTGTTATGATTTGTGGGGGAGGACACCGCGGTTCCAGACAGTGGCGTTCATTGGCAGGCTTCACTGCAAATCACTAACTGGAACTCACTATTTGTAAACTATTTGTACTTCTTGACCCATCTTTGGTAATCCTCTCTTAGAGATTATAGGAAAACTTTCATCGTATCCTTCGAAATCTCCAAAGCATTTGACAGGGTATGGCACAGGTCTTTGCTTTCTAAACTTCCCTCTTATAGTTTCTCTTCCCCACTTTGTTTTCTAATCTCTAGCTTCCTTGAGAACCGATCCATGGCAGTTGTTATCGAGGGATCGATCTCTCGCTCTTTCTCTACCAATAGTGATGTCCCACAGGGTTCTGTTCACCTACTCTCTTCCTTCTTTTTATCAATGATTTACTTCACACTACATCTAATTCTATCCATTCTGACGCTAATGATTCTACTCTTCACTCTTCACAGTTTCCCCTTCCCCCTAATTCTCAAACTAGATCTGTTTCTAGAGCTGATATCCTTACATCTATCAATGCGGTTCCGTGCAGCATCTCCTAATGGCGAGGTAGAAACTCTGTTAAATTCAATCTTTCTTCCCTTTCTCTTCGCCGCAATGTTGCTTCACCCTCTCTCTCTTTTACAGGTACTTTAACGAGCAATATTCGGTGGATCTGGCATCCTGTGAACCGCCGACAAGACCATGGGCTCGTAACATACGTCTTGCCCGCGGTGCTCACCTTTTCTCTGTGGATGTTGGTCACACTAGAATAACCCGTTATAGTGCATCCATTTTTCCTCACACAGCCAAACTGTGGAATGCTCTGAATTCTTCTGCGTTTCCATACTCTTACAATCTGTTTCACTTTATAAAGCTGAGTTTCCTGCAGCTTTGTGGTGTAGATTAATTTAACCTTTACCTTTTCTATTTTTAATTTTTTTTGTATTCTTTTTTTTTCGCCCCCAAGGCCCCGTTGTGGGTCGTTGACCTGTACCCGGGTGGGCTCATCCCCGTACAAAAAAAATGTAAGTTGTTGAAGTTTCCGTTATTATGTTTATAGAAATTTTCTTTGTGTGGTATATCCTGGCCACTGGTAAAATGAGAGGGCTAGTGTGATTTATATATATGAAAGTTTTAAAATCAGTACCATTAGTACTGGAAAGTGAATTTTCATACAGATCACAGGAATATGACTTGTGCTCTTGTTCTAATCATATTTATCTGCTGCTTTGGTTACAAACTTATGCTTTATCGTCATTAACGATTACTCATAATGTGAATCTACCTGGACGGCAGCAGACATGTTACCGTGGGCGGTGAGCGTCTCGTTGACCAGCTCGTACTCCAGCAGCCGCCGCTCCCCTGTGAACTTCACCTCCTCCTGTAATGAGTGACAGAGTGATGGTCAGCTACCCGGGGAAAACTACTGACATACGGTCGTTATGGAAATAATGATGAAAGTGTAGAATTTTATTGTGTGTATGTTACAAATCAACAAAGTTAATGTTACAGATGGTACGATATACAGTAGGTCCACACTGAGGATGTATGGTGATCATGTTTTAGGAAGAGAATATAAAGCTCAATAAATTTTAATGCTAATAAATCCACCAACAAATAAAAGGATCCCAGGAACTGCACCCAAGCTTACCTGTAGTAGCAAAATGTTCCCCACAGCCTGATCAGGAATGGAGTAGACCAGGGAACACCTCTGAGAGTCAAACGGGTAGGCCTGAAGCTGGAACTGACACATAAGCGTAACTGTATACTGCTGCACCAGCTTCACCGTGCTGTTCACCCCGCGGTATAACTCATCTGTAGTCATAGAGAGCAGCTTGATTAATTATCTCTCCGGGAAATATTATTTCAAATACTTAAAGTAAAATAGTTTGTGCGACTTACCATATAAAATCGTAGAATTCTACAGAAAAGGTAAGTAAACAATTTGAAAATAATAAGAAATTTCGTAAAATATCATATCTCAAAGAAAATCAAGAACATGAGGTTATCTACGTCCATGAGAGTACTAACATTTATCTTAATGTTCGATTTATGCTTCTCATTTATCAAAAAATTTGCTGTCGTTATAAACACTGTATACCCTATGTACAGTAGGCTCCACTTCCGACTTTACCACTTAACACTGCCAATCTTCTCTCTCCTTGAGAGTTGAACCCCCGAATTCAGAAGTGTGAATTCGAAGCATTCGCTAGTGCGTGGGAGGGAGAGCGGAGGGGTGCGTCAGGGTAGTTGTCTGTCTGTGGAGAGGAGACTGAGTACTAGTACAGGGAAGAGGACGAAAAATTTATATAAGTAGGAAGAGATTGCAATGCAGGGTAACATTTTGACAATACTGACGGGTTCCCTCTGCTCGAAGTAATCGTCTCGTCTTGTGCTAGCCAGATGAAAATACAAAGGTTACGATAGAATGAGAGGGGTGATGAATTCATGTTCTAAGTAAGGAGCATACTTGCAAGCAAAAGGGGGTAATTTATGAGCAAATGGATTATGAATATGTTTGAATCTATATCTTGAAGAAGCAGCGAAATTTTTTTTAGCCAATTGACGACGAGAGGGGACTTCCCCGGCTGAATAAAATCGTGTGGCGGTAGCCAGAATAAAACAGATAAAATTACATCGTACTGAAGGGATTTATTGGCAATCTAAACAATGAGGAAGTGAGCAACACAAATTTTTTGTAATGCATACTTGATGTGAACAAAAATAATACAGTTGGCAGCTGTCCGGTAAGGAATTAGCAAGCCATATACTGTAGTTCAGCTGTGCCAAACAGTGAGTTGTTATTATTATTTTTATTATTATTCATAGAATGTGCAATTTAAGGTGCTAAGCGATATAGCTGTTGCATAAAGTTTTCAAACAATAAAGTTGTTTCTATGATGTGCAAAGGATTGAACCTTCGACTTCCCCACCCTACCCACCTCCACCACCCAACTCCTACTTTGTGTTGTTGGTATTTGAATCACAACAGACAATTTACAGAGTACTGTAGAATAATGTTGTGTCCTCTCATTTCCTTGAGACAATAATGATGAAAATACAAATACAAGTAATACTTAGTATTTCAAGTTATGTTAGGTTATGGTATTGTTATTTTGACACATGACCGAAACGTTCGGGAGTCGTGGTCCATGGTCCAAACGCCTTACATTCCTCCATAATATATAGTCGAGAAGTACAGTAGTATATGGTTCTGCAATTAAGACACTCAAAATGTGTGTAAAATTATATTTCTTCGAACTAACACCCTATAATGTGAACGAGTACCTCGGACTAATAACTCCCACACCCGGGTTGATTGAAATACTGGGTATCACTTGTATTTGTATTCTCATTGTAATGCAATGATTCGAATAACAAAAACCCTGAGTAGAAGTTGGGTGTTGGAGGAGGGGGGGTGGGGGAGGGGGGTGTTCCATCAGTAACTCTGTCCAGGGCTGCGTTACGTCCAGTGCACTACACAGAAACTTTGTTATTTAGCACATTTATGCTACAGTAATATCGCTTTGCATCATTAATTGCACATTTCATAATAATAATAATAATAATAATAATAATAATAATAATAATAATAATAATAATAATAATAATAATAATAATATAATAATAATAATAATAATAATAATAATAATAATAATAATAATAATAATAATAATAATAATAATAATAATAATAATAATAATAATAATAATAATAATAATAATAATGTCTTATTTTTTCCTTTAACCTCACTGTTTGTCACAACTGAACTATTTTTATTCATATCAAGTTTGTATTACAATAAATATGTGTGTCCCACTATGTCTTTTTACCTATCTATCCTGGCTACCGCCAAACAATTTTATTCAGCCGGGGAATAAAAAACAAAACTTCGCTGCTTCTATCCATAATTCATTTGCTCTTAAATGTTTCCTTTTGCAAAGGAAGACCTTACTTAGAATACGAATTTGTCATACTGTCATCCTATTGTAACTTTAGTATTTTCATCTGGCTAGTGCTAGACGATTTCACTGAGTTGAGGATATTCCGCCGGTATTCTAAAAGTGATATTTTGCATTGTAAAATTCCCAACTGAGATACTGTACAATTCCCTCCTCATCTCCAGTATCCCGTCTCCCCCCACAGAAAAACAAACAACTACCCCTACACACTGTTTCCCTCCTCCTGCCGCTACTGGGCGAATGTTTCAAATTCAGAGATCAGTGATTGTGGTTTTAGGCCTGAGGGAGAGAAAGGATTGGAAAAGCTAAGTGGTAAAGTCAGGATTGAAGCCAACTCTACTTGTGTTAAATAATTTGCAACTAAATTTAAGAAATCACAATTGGATGATTGATACTGATGTCTACAATGAACTTGCCTAACCTTCTGAGTAGTTGGAATCATCATCAGGGAGAGGATCTGCGTCTCGGCGTACCAACAGCCTCACTCGTCTCATCTGCAGGTCGGTAGGGCTGTAGGTCCCATCCTTCACCAAGATGTCCGGCAGCCACAGTTTATCAAAGCTCTAAAATACACAACGCACGACTCCTTAAGGCTCAAAGAAAAAAACTTAAATATCACAGATTACTGTAGAGAACAAAGGAATAAACAAGATGTAAAGAAACTTTAGCGTTCTAACTTTTGCTTCGTTGGGAAAGTTTCCTTGACGGAGGTTCATCAGGACAAGCCTCGCGTCTCTCCACCTGATGCTTTGAATGATGTCAACTGCCAACATGAATCCCAAGATGTCAAATTCCCTGATGGAGGTGATGTCGAGCGAGATATGGAGAGATAAAAGAGGGGACTCTACTGCCGGTGGCGCAATTTCTTTGGAATATCCTTTGGGGAGCAAAATGAGGTCACAGTTCAGCTCGTCCGTGTTATCTGGACAGTCAACCTCTTGGTCACAGCGTTTGGTCTTCTTAATGCATGACCCGTCACTGCATGTGAAATCAGTAGCGCTGCATGACGTTAACAACAACTGCACCTGTATATTATGAATTCATGTCTAGGTCTTGTGGTAAGCTTAAGAAAACTATTTTTTCAGTGGTTTATTAAAAAAGCTATGGCATATACTTTATAGACAAATTAAGATATATTCATAAAAAAACATCCTCCTGAACTAATGTATTTCGAAATACACCTGTACTTAGGTGTCCTTTATTTTATATATTTGTTATTACATTTTCTTCTAGAATACGTAACTTTCTAATGTGTGCAATAAAAAAAAACTTTGACTACAAAACAAAGTATGCTATTAAGATAAAATTTAAATCTAAATCTCAATGATGTAAATAATTTTTTCAGCTTACTTGATCCAGGCGACATGTGTCGCCTACCACCTCCCATGTATGTAGACCTAATGGATAGTCATCTGGGCTTCTGAGACTCATGCGAGCCTCCACCCCCTTCTCCAGGCGGCTCTTGATTAACCAAGTATTGTTTACCCAAGATATTCTGCTCAGGAAGGTTCCCTCTAATACTGGTTTCATGTTGCTGTAGTCGAATGGAGAATAATAACGATCAAATTTTGAGAGTTTGCAAAGCCCACGCATATGTAGCCTCGGAGTCGTTGTAAAGTTACATATTGGACATTGATGAATGTCACAGGGTGAGGCAGCCCAAACGTATCTTGTATTGACGGCAGCAGCAGCCATGCATCTGTGTTCTTCTGAAGGGTCACCCCAGCCAATGGCGAATTTGTTCCATGTCAAGGGTTTACCGTCTGACACTCTCGTCCACCATCCACTTGTTAAGTTTGCTGTAAGACCAAACCAAAATGCGGTGCCCCAGCTGTCTGCACAGTGATTATTGAAGTCGTCGAACTTGTCGTATATTGCTGTATTTTCCTCATCATATGTGGGCACGACGATGCTTCCAGTGAATAAACTGCACATAACTAGTGCTTTAACAAAATTTATTCTTTCGGGTATGATCATCACCAGATCAGGTCCTTTCGAGCATATGTTTTCTATACTTGTTCGATACAATTTGCTGTCACCACTCAACTCCAAGTTGGTCATGTTAATGTCAAAGACATACATAGGAGAAGGTAAATCAAATGTTACGTTACACGAAGCAAATTCTCTCATGTCTTCAGGGGATAAGGCAATATCATAAAACCTAAAGTCAGCTAAATCACCGTGAATTGCTTCGGTGAACATAAGATCAGCTGCCGGGTTATAGTTCTGTCCCACCAGAAAGCGGCCGCCGCCCCGCACTTTGTTAAGTTGTTCACGTGTGACGCCAGGACGACGAATTAACGCTTCATTTACCTGAAAAAATAAAAAATAAAATTAAATAATATATATATATATATATATATATATATATATATATATATATATATATATATATATATATATATATATATATATATATATATATATATATGGTGATATATATATATATATATATATATTATATATATATATTTCTATTTATGTAATACACAAAATTTCGGTGTGATAAAAAGAGACGTTAGAGGCCAGTGGTTCTTAACCTTTTTACTACCACGCCCCCTCTAGGAATTGGTCCTTCCCTCCACGCCCCCTTGCATCTATGAATAAAATTCCCTCCCAGATTTTAAAGAAAAATGAAAAATATTGTGTTTTTAGTCTTTTTATTGAGTATAAATTAGTGAGATACTTGACACTGCTTCTTAGCTACTAGATCTTGAATGCGTGGTTGAATGCCAGAGAGTGCACAACGTAAATCCCCTTCAACGTTCAGCCTGTTTCTGTACTTGGTCTTGACAGCAACGAGCGTGGAAAATGCAGCTTCACAAAGATACGTGGATCCGAACATAGTTAGAATCCGAAGAGCCTGATGTGAGATCAGAGGGTAAACAGGAAGGTACTTGACCCAGAACGTCTCAAGATCCAGTTCTTTGAAGTCTTCCTTAGCTGTGGAGTTGAACTTCAACTCAAGAAACTCCTCTTGCACTTCATCCGAAACATCAGCTACTTCACATTGAAATGGGTTCCTGATGAATTTCCAGGCTTCACGCTTCTCATCTATCTCTGGGAAGTATCTGATGAATTCTGTTTTCAAGTCAGTTAGATGAGTGATTATTTGTTTCTTTAACTCAGAATCAAGGTTACCGTGAATGAGAGCAGAATCCAAGTTACTAAAACTGGCTGTATTTCCCTGCTGAATTCGACACTTCCAGAGTTCTAGATACTAAGGATTCACGATGAAGTATGCAGTGTGTACCTACAACAGACGGATTTTTTCTTTCACCATTGTAATGAATCCAGACTGCAGACCAATCATGGCTGGAGCTCCATCAGTGCACACCCCTACCAGCGAGTCCCACGAAAGTTGGGTTTCCTGAAAGAAGTTTGATACATCATGAAAAATAGCTGCTGCTGTTGTACAACTTTCCATGGGGTGACAGAACAGCATTTCCTCTTTTACACTGTTGCCTGACACGAAACGAGCATACATCAGTAGCTGAGAACACTGAGCGATGTCAGTCGTTTCGTCACACTGGATGGCAAAAACAGGAGAATCTCTTACTTGGTCGAGAATTTGATCTTTGATGTCTTGAGACAATTCATCGATCCTTCCCTTGCCTGTATCGTTTGATAGTGAAATTTGGGAAAGCTTGTTTGCACTATCTTTCCCCAGAACGAGTTCTGCTGCACGGAGTATGCTTGGTTTTATGAGAAACTCTCCGATGTTAAGGCTACTTCGTGCTCTTTGCAATCAACATGGCGATCTCATAGGAAACTTCAACAACCTTTGAAGTTTGTTGCCGAAATGCCCCACTGCCGTCCAACTTAACTTGCTTCAAGGAGTGTCTTTTTGTTTCAAAGAATGCCTTGGGCTTATCAGCTAGAGCAGGATATGTTGTCCTCAAGTGGCGTTCCAAGCGTGAGGGCCGCATTCCATCATTGCTCAGAGTCTTGTAACATATCACACACTGGGGGACCGCTGTGTTACCCTTTTGGAGAAACACGAATCCAAATCGAATATATTCGTCAAGATACTTCCGCTTCTTTGCACTCATTGCGAATTATTTGATGTGCAGTGGACAACACAAATCTGTGAACAAAACATAAGGCTCGTGTCAGGTAAGACAAACATCACCACGTGCTCATGAACACCACAACATCATGATAATCACAACCACATGATCAATAACAAACATATGATCGTAAAGTTCGTAAACACTACAAGTGACTTCAATCATACATGATCATAAACACCACCATATCATTAACAAACATCACATGATCATAAACACCACATGATTATTAACAAACATCAATGATCACAACATAATCATAAGCACCACTACATGATCATAAACACCACATGATTATTAACAAACATCAATGATCACAACATGATCATAAGCACCACTACATGATCATAAACACCACCACATAATTATTAAGTAAATATTAACAAACACAACAACATTATAGTAAACACATCATGATCATAAACACATGATTATTAAGAAACAAATCAATATCATCATAAATACAACTTTACCATAACCACCTGTTACCACCACATGATTTTACGCACCACCAACTTCTGATAAAATACAAACGGAATTCAAAACTTGCGAATAACAAACAGAGCAACACATGCGTGTGCACAATTCACCGATAAACTTATGGCTGCATACTATTTTTAGGTAAATATAACAACTGGGATAAAACATACCTCAACAGCCTTAACTGAATAAATATGAGAGAAGAGGAATTATTGCCATGGACGTGTGCAGAAGACTGGGAGAGAACGGGGCTCACCAGTCACCAACGAGCAGTATACAGGTCCAGGACGAGTTAACCCCCCCCCCCCATGGGTTTCGAGGGATAGGGAGGGGGGTCAATAAGTACAGAAAATGGTAAACCTTAAGTAAAAAAAGTAACCTATAGAAAACTAAAGTTATAAGGCGATACTTTTGCATTTTTTCATAAACTTCTCAATATTAGCCCACGCTCTTGTTAAGAGAATAAAAACTATAATTTTAATTAGAGAAATTCCTACTTTTTCCCTAGGGCTTGTGCCCCCCCTGGAAATTACTGACGCCCCCCTAGGGGGGCGCGCCCCCCCCAGGTTAAGATCCACTGCGTTAGACGTTAGTACGTAAATACCAATATGGCGATATGCTGAGTCATCTTAGCCTATGAGATAGGTTGACTGAGCGAGGGTGGCGCATACCCACACGTAGTGAGAGCTTTCTGAACTAGGCCTATACGATCATAAATGTAATTTACCGAATAAATATGGACGCGAATCATGAAATTAAATGACATTTATTAAATTTTAAATTAATATAAATCGTTTCTCAGTATAAATATGTTATTTGTGTCCCAACTAAGCTATTAGTTATGCGGGTAAATATGTCACTAGTAGGCTAACGCCTTGGGGGCACGCCCTGGCTGTCTCAGTCACGCAGAAGCGATCGGACAGACAGGACGTCTGCGCGTCCAGGAAAAACGACCACGTGGCCTGGTCTTGTTGCGTGCACAGTTCATCAGTGTTGCAAGTAAGTTTATTCGATCTCAGACAAGGTTTAGATAGGGCGGAGAAGAAGCTAACAATAGCTAACAGAGGATTTATTGCAGGGATTCTGTAGAGCCCACACGGTCGAGTTGAGCAATTTGAGGGGTGGAGTGGAGTGAGCTGTCTGTGTTGACCACTGGTTAGCGAAGTTTTAGCTGGGACAGCCAGGAGGAACGAGTGTTCCTGACAACTAACTATGTGGGACCAGCGTCCGCCCTCGGTTGACGATCGTTTGGGGTCGCCAGATCTCCCCCATCTTGGTTCACAACACCACATATCTTCAGTCAGTTTAGTGAAAACCTCTTACTAACAGGAGAATAGAACCCCCCTCAACTGGGCAGGTGTCATTGGCTGACTGGCCCTTGCTCTCTTCCGGTTCATGGATGTAATTAGCGTTAAACTGAGGCAGTCTGAGTGAATGAACGGTCACACACTGAGACCAGGAGCCTAGTGGGTACAGTACTTAGAGACATTTTATCTCCCCAGTATGGGTGTGCTCTGAACTTATGTGTGAAGCATGTTACGGGAAATAGTAGTAAGGTGTGTTTAGAATTTACCAAGTCCAGGTGTGAAAACAGCACTCCTCATGGTTGATTTTCACACGCAAGACTTAAGAATACCTATCAAAAGTTGTGAAAAGCTTGTGAGTCTTAAAAATATGGGTGCATTCGGAACCTATGGGTGATGCGTGTGTGCTGGTATTGGTGGAGAAAAACATTCATGATTCCTGAGAATCTAGAGAAAGTACTATCAAAACCAACAGAGCACCCGCCTGCCTGATGGGTCATGAGTGATTTTCTCGGGTTTTCTTGCTGTGTATAGTTAATATGTCTTAATATTTGTTGATACTATTTATCAGTGACTGATATTATCTCTGCTGTGTGAAGTTAATACTCCCTGATATTTTCTGTCAGCATTTCTCAGTGACTGATATTATTTTGTTGAATGCCCTTAAGGTCTGTTCAGGGTGGAGTTTATAATTTCTTAATATTTTGATACTATTGTTTTCTAATGTTCATGTGTCACTAAGGGATGTGAGATAACGAGGAACTGTTTTCAGATGAGCTCCTCTTTGTGGTGTACGTAGCACTGTTACCTTAGTAGTGCTCATAAGGCATTTAATATTTCTACCTAGTTTTGATATCATGTATATCTTTTGATCCCCAGTGTAGTGCTTTCAGCCAGGCTAAGAGGTGCTCAAGTGCTGGTGTACCATTATTGATTGTGGTTGTAGTGTTGGAGGGAATAGATGTGTCAAATTTTACAGTGTGTCTCATTCACCCCAATCACAGGTGCTATCTTTCCACGGGACACGGAGAATATTTTTTAAATTGTGTTTGTGCTGGTTCGGGTTTTTCTCAAAGGGGCGCTTTCACTGCATTACCATCCGCTATAATCAAAATCCCCAAGTGAGAGAATCCCGACCGGTTACCTGTTACATATAGTATATATATATATATATATATATATATATATATATATATATATATATATATATATATATATATATATATATATATATATATATATGTTACAATTATTTTTTTATAAAGTTATAACACATAACTAACAGCACTTTACTCTCTGACTCTGGGCCTGTGATAAAAGTGATAAAGATTGATAAAAAGTGAAGACAAAAATTCTTAAGCTTCTACATAGGGCAGATCCTGACCCGTTCTTCTGGGTTAAAAATGTAGGCTAAGACATATCGCTCCTTGAAAATGGGTGACTCACCAAGTCATCGAAGATCATGTACTGGACGTCCTTGGTCATGTCCGCAGACAGACATATCTGGTGCCAAGTGTACAGGCGGAGAGGTACCGCCATCTCCATAAACCCTGTGTACTTACAACACTCAAGCCGCAGGTTGGACTGAGGCCAGTCAATACCTTCAGACAAAGAATAAAAACATTATTTTAGCTGTATGCAAATGATAAAGAAAATTAGAGGCATATTTACAATAATATCGTTTTGGAAGTGAGGGATTGTAAGTAATGATTATAAGTAATCCAATTAGTATGAGAATAAAGACAATCAAAAGTGAGAACACTGTTTCTAAATCAACATTATACGAGCCATCATACACTGGTTCAATATCATCTGCAAAATGAAAACGAACAAAATGCTAATAAGAGAAGAAAACATTTAAACAACAATAATAGTGATTTGATATATATATGACTGATATAAATTGCTGTATAATATTATATTATTATAATCGTAATTATTATTATTATTATTATTATTATTATTATCATGCAGCAATGGCATGAGTGAGCATTTCCCACCAAACGTGAGCCTATCCCAGTGACCTGTGAGGGTGAATGCCTAAGGCCTGAACCAATAAGAGAACCTGTGAGACGTGATGTCATGACCATGTAGCCCCTGACTCTGAAAAAGACAGTCGGCTTTTGGAGAGAATGAAGTATAGCTAAAGCTGCCTCCCGAAAGTTAAAAATGCTGTACAGATGCCGTAGCTACTTCACTCCTGAGCAGTTGCTCCAAGTATATAAGGGATTCATTCGTCCTAACTTGGAGTACTGCTCTCATATCTGGGGTGGCTCTTATTCTGTCCAACTATTAGATAGGGTGGAATCAAAGGCATTTCGTCGTATTAACTCTCCTTCTTTGGTCGACAATCTCTCTTCCCTTTCTCTTCGCCGCAAAGTTGCTTCACTCTCTAACTTTTACAGGTGTTTTAACGGGCAATGTTCGGTGGATTTGGCATCCTGTGTACCGCCGGCAAGGCCGTGGGCTCGTAACACACGTCTTGCCCGCACGTGCCCACCGTTTCTCTGTGGATGTCGGTCACATGAGAATAACCCATTATAATACCTCCTTCTTTCCTCACACAGCCAAACTGTGGAAAGCTCTGCCTTCTTCTGTGTTTCCATACTTATACAATCTGTCTCACTTTAAAAAGCTGGTTTTCCGGCATCTTCGTGGTATAGATTAACACAATATAACCTTTTTGCTCTCTATTTTTAATTTCTTTCTGTTCTTTTTTTCGCCCCTCAGGCCCCATTGTTGGTCGTTTGACCTGTGCCCTGGTGGGCTAATTCCCTTAAAAAAAAAAATCCCTTCATGGAGGGATATAATTATAAGTGAGTACCTTTCAGGTTTTATCCGTTTCACGAAATATTTTGTAATTCACGTGACCCCTGTTTAGCTAGCTAGGAAAATTAGTCAGTGTTTTGAAAGTACAGTTGTTCATTTTGAGTAAAGTCATTAATAAGCGAACAACCGTTATGAGTAGTTCTCACTTCCCTTGTGTATGGAGTAGAGTATGTCTTTTCTAAGTGTCTTTGGTGTATACGTTAATACAGTGAGTCTTAAGCAATAACTATTTCATGTTATCCCTGTTCCCAGTTATCATCGCCCCCTTCCATTCTTCCTCAATCTCCCCTTGGCTTGTGAGGGCTTAGTCTAGCCACAAACCAGCTGTTAGCCTCCTCCCCCTCACCCCCTTCCCTCAGCCATAAGCAAGTCTCCCTCTCTCCCTCTCCAGTCTGCTCACCTCTCACCACCTCAAGAGTATACAAAGAAGGAAAGAATTACGAATACAGAAAGAGTTTTAGAGTACAAAGAAGGAGAAAAGTAAGTAAAAGTAAAGAGATAAGAAATAAAAGAAAAAGAAGAAAAGGTAAAAAAAAATTGCATTTTCTAAAATATGGTGGCAGTGGTGGGATGTTTCTTTAAAATATCTGTCGCACACGCTGAGCCACTCACATGCTACCAAACGTAGTTTTAACGTATATTTATTTTGTGTTTGATAAATAATAAGTGCTAGAAAGAAGATTTTATTTCTTCTGTTGCTCACTGAGAGAAACTTGAGGTAGAATTTGAAGTTAATGTGTTTTCATACTTATTATACTGCTTGATGAATATACTGTGAGATAAAGTAGATTTAACATCTAGCTATGGGGCTGGGGGACTGAGCAAGCACCCCGCCTGCCCGCCACTTACCCATCACCAGCCTGTCCAGCCACCCAGGCTACCACCTGTCCTCCATCATCCCCCTCCCTGCCACCCTTCCCTGCCAACCTGGTAGCTCCACCCCACCCTGCTCTGCCCCGCTCTGCCCTGCAACGCCTCTCACCCCTGCCTGCCATCCTCAAGTGGCCAGCAATCCTTACACCCACTCCCTGCCCAGTGTCCTTCTCCTCACGCCTCCCCTCACCCTCAACCACTGTTCATCCAACCTCCCCCTATACCCACATGTCCCATTACCCTGCCACACACACCCTGCCCATTTGCCCGTTTTTCTGTTCATATTTAGTTCATAGAACTTAGTGTAGTTGACATATTGAGATGGATTTCCTTAAAGACCTTCCCTAGTGACCTGTCCACTGCTATTACACCGTAGCATGTATTTGAAAGTAATGACACCTATTCCATGACATAACCATAGCTTACTCTCTCACTATCCTGCATGGGTTACTTTCGGTTTAACGAGACAGACACTGTTGCATAATATCATGAAGGCGTTTGGAGACATAATAATGTTAAAGTAAATGATAATCATTTCTAGACTTTCAGATTAAGGAAGAATTAGATCCCCCTTGTTGGATGTCACATTGTCTCATTATTTATGATTAAGTTTGGATTTACCTGAGATACCTGAGGATTATGGGCAACTATAATCTAAAGGGTATGTACACCGCCTTCAGCCTAATGACCTTGCGATGTTTCATACTAATCTCACTTCCAGACAGACTTAAACCCAGTATTTGCAGGTCTAGCAAAATCTATTGGGTGTGATGTCTATGTCACTAGACTTCCCTGCATAAGTCATGCCTCTGTCACTCACACACTAGAGGGCGACCAGACGACCAATGCAGTCAGTAAGCAGTCAAAAAGCAGCAAAGCCTGTCCAGGATGGCGTCATCAATAGACCCCCTCCCATCTCATTCCTGTGAAGCTTGATGCAGAGAAACCAGATGGAGAGAATGATGTAGTGTCGCAGTCAGCATGCCCTTTTGTTAACTTGGGTACAAGCGGATGCAGAGATGTTCCCAACTGGGATCCTGTCACTATTGCTCTAGCCAGGCTACCAGCCCGACGACACCACCTGGTGGATTCCTTTTACCACAGTTATCTGGTTAGAAGCAAATAATTGGGCACGATGTAGCCGACTTGGTGCCTCTCGTTGATCCAGGGGACTTGCTTTAATTGGTTGAGTAGGAAGGGGCAGACCTTAATTGTATCAGTGTTTACACCATTCAAACTACTTGTGAATGACTGCTGCTAGAAGCAAGGAGGAGGAGAGAAGTGAGAAGTTGATGTCCCGGAGAAGTGACACATAATGTCTGGGAAAACCCTGTCCTGTTTGTAGCTCTATTAAGGAACCATCCCATAAGCACCTACCAATGTAGATGTGTCATGCAGAGCCTGTTGGAGTGAGGGAAACGTGCAACGGTGCAACCTAACAGTTCACGGAGGTGTTAGTACGAATGGAATGGTGGTCATTGTGGATTCGATCGATGCTGTGTGTCCTGGTCGGAGATAGAGAAGAAGATTCTTGTGGAGTTGTTGAGAAGAGAGGAGAGGATCCTATGTCCTGTGAGATGACCATTCCCGGTGTAGAAAATTATCTAGCTGGTCCTCCCCACTATTGGAAAAGCTCCCGTTCTTGTTACCAGTTCTGAAACTAAGCCGCCAAATAAGCAACCACCATTATGGAGTGAGGCTGTGCCGCCGAAATTAGTACCAGGGAAAAGGTACAAACGAATTTGACTATACGAGTAACTCTAAGCAGTTAATGAGTAGTGGATAATGAAGTCAAGAAACAAAATGTCTCCTGAAACGATTTGTTCACTCATAGAAGATGGAAGCTGAAAGTTAGTGAACAGTAAGCAAGTGTCTGTGGGCGACCTGCAATCTACAAATGTGAACTCTGTATCTCTGCCGGCTGCCAGATGGACAATCATCAATTTTAAGACGAGAGGCAAGATGAACAACAGAAAATAAGATATACAATAGGGTGTGTCATAGGAGGGAAGATCAGCTAAACTAATGGCCCATCACTTTTTTGGTAGATTTTAGTGTATATAAACAGAAAATAATTTCAGTTTCAATATTTTGCAACCTTTTGCTAGGTAAATTTTAGCGTGAAATTTATCGAAAATCTAACGTACAGCTGCATTAGTGCATTACAATTAAATAGTGAACATTGCTTTCTGACTTCATTCTTTAACAACCCAACTAACAATATTTGTTTCTGTTTCAGATTCTGATGCATTTATAAGTTGATAATATTTGCGATGGCTGCTTGTGTCAGGACGAGGAACCAAAAATCCAGCCATCTCAGTCACTATCTTGGGTCTGGGAGAGAGCTCCTGAAGTCGGAGTTGCCTACATCGAGAGATGCTTTGAGATACGGTGTTTTAATCAGGCAAATCAGTGAAAAGAACCAAAGAACTTACACAAACAAAGACATTGCCAGTGATATGACCAAAGCTGTCTTGGCACAGTACACTCGGGTCTAGGACAACTGGCCGCCGCCATCTGGCTGCAGCCCATGAAGTACCTAACCTAACCTAACCTAACGTAACCTCACCTGCCTTGAGAGCGCAAAATTAGGCGTTTGCAGTTTACCCCCAGTCCGCGGCGGCCAGATGGCGGCGGCCAGTTGTCCCATTCCCAATACACTCTGGCTAACGCTCAGTTCAAGCCTCCAGTCATAACAAGTCAGAAGAAGATTAGTGAGAGACTGCTAGCCAGTTGGGAAAAGGCAAGAGATATCTCTCTTGGGAGAGGAAAACTTGCAGTTAAGGACAGCTTTGCCAAGCAACTGGACCAGTTATTTGACATAATTACTTGCAAGTGCCCAATTGTTCTCTGTCCTGAGTTTGGATGCGATCGTGACTGTAAATCCGGGCCCACATCT